GTCGTAGTAAGGAATGTCAATCTCGTTGCCGCTCGCGTCTCTCTTCTTGTTCATCTGGAAGGCCCACAGCAGTCGGATCGTCAACAAGTAGAGAGACCGTTCGGCAATGTTCATTCCAGGACAGATACGACGGCCAAAGCCAAAGGCGGAAAAATTCTGGAGGTTGGGGTACACGCTGAGAGGTTCTTTGTAGGTGGGGTAGGCGGGGTTGACCCAGCGGTCTGGGTTGAAGGTCTCGGGGTCGGGATACTGCTCGGGGTTGCGGTGGATTGCCCTGTTGTGACATAAGTACATGGGGTTATGGTATCAAGAGTGGTTGGAGAATCCACTTACCAGAGATTGGGGTGGACAACGGTTCCCTTGGGGAAGTTGTAACCTTCGTATTCATCGTCCTTGGTCAACTCGTGCGGCATGCCTGATTCACCATTTGTCAGTAATAGCTCATTACCGGCGTACAAGATTGGTCAACAAACCTCCGGCAAGAACCGGGCGCCATCGAAGAATCTCCTTCATTACAGCTCGGGCATAGGGCAAGTTTGGCAAATCGTCAAAATCGGGCATCCGGTCACCACAAACAGCGTCTACTTCGGCCTGACCTCTTGTTTGCACATGCGGATGGAGGCACATAGCCAGGCAGAAGGTAAGCATAGCTCCAGCAGTGGTACCACTACCAGCCTCAAAGAAGGTACCAATGACATAAGCAGATTCGTCGGAGGTCATGCCAAACTCTTCTTCATTCTCGAGGAAGGTCCTGGTCAGACACTCTGGTGCGTTTCCGTTCTTGATGCCAACACGGATATCGTTCTGCAGTTCGCGGAACAGCTTAATTTCACGGTTGTGTAGCCATTTGGCCTCCCTCTTGAAGGGTGATAGGAACTCGGGGATGTATCGAAGTAATGGGATGGAGTCGCAGAGGTAGGCGCCAGGGGCAGCGACACGTTCGACGGTGTGCACGATGTTGTAGATATCACGGACGTAGGGCTCACGGCCAGTCTCGACTGCCTTTCCGAATGCGAGGCGGAAAATGATGCCAGCTGCGTATCGCTCAAAGTGGTTCTCGTAGCTCTCGGGGTCTTCCAGCATGTCGTTGAGGAGCTTTTTGGCTTCGAGGGATTGGGCGGGGCGGAAGGTATCCACAACCTTTGGCATACCGAGAGTGTGCATAAGCTTGCGCCCTCGCCTCCAGGTATCTAGAAAAGATTAGTAAGATGATAGAGCTAGGCAAGGGAGAATTGGGTTAGAGTAGTACCATTGTATGGAAGTAGAAGTGGTCGGAGGTTCTTGGAGAGGAGCTCCGTCGCAAAGTACAAGAACTCTCTAGACGAGTAGATATTTCCTCGTCCACGGAGAAGATCATTTGCAATTTTCTCAGTAGAAACCACGATGTTGTTCTTGGAGCCGACCTGAAATTTGTAGATTGGTCCGTAGATGTCTGCCCATTGCTTGAAGCGAATCCAAGTGTGGGTTTTTGGAATTTGGAGGATATTTCCAATAATTGGGGCAGCTATAGGGAGGATAGTTAGTTTTGTTTTAATTGAAGGAATTCATTTCTACTAACGTGTTGGTCCCGGTGGAACTCTGACGCATGTTTTTGCAGACTTCAAAGATTGCTCACTCCGAATAGAGAGGTAAGTTTGATATGCCCTATATGCAAAAAATAGGACTGCACATGTCGCGCCAACTATGACGATCTGCATCTTGTATAGAGTTTATAAGTCTGTCGGGGCTCTTGGAGATATGAGGGATGTCAAGTTTAAGTCTATGGTAGGAATTGAGGGCCCTGAACTCTGATTTATATCATATATCTTCGAATTGTTCTCGAGTTTTCAACAAACTAGTACATACGTAGCCCTGGTGGACTTACTGTGTTTGTGTTCTACAAGCATCAGCATACTCGGGTTAAGCTAGATGTTGATACTTCCGATAGTTGGATAATAGAGTTAGATACCCCAAGGAATATCGGGCGTCGGAGCACACAATTGAAGACTAACGATTATGAGGTGATATGACTTCACGTCTTACTTCCAAGACTTCATGTTCACGCAAGACAAAGCAGGGACTACCCAGAAGGACAAGGTTCTAATCTGTATCTAGAGATGTTTGTTGTAGTTCCAACTTTGAGATAACTCGGGATACAATAATCGGGGTTCAATGCTGATACACAAATTTATCAAATCATCTAAACTCACTGCGCCCAATGTTCACCAAGAGGTTCAGCGTATCATCTTTGACAAACGTTTCATGGCATAAATTACTTTAATAAGCATCTCGGGGGCATAGTACAAAGGTCAAAAGCCTCCAATCACGAGAACGAAGGACGTCCAGGGGAGTGAATCGGGGCGCTTCAAGCCGGTGAGCTCTCGTCAGCGCCTCAAACGGCTTCTTACGCATTGTGTGGATACATATAACGGCGAGAAACAACACGCTAAGCCCTTGGCTGTGTGCAGCTCAGATATAGGTTGAGAGAATATGTTTAGTTGAAACGAAACTCACCGGCGAATTGAAAGTGCAACGCCTATGATTGGTGCAGATAGAGAAATGAGACATACTACGGATAGTCAGAAACAAACTCGGCTAGATTGAGGCTAGGTGTAACAACGGTCAGGCGTTAAGGATTGCATATAGCTTAAACTCGCTGCGGTTATGTTTCTCTAGTGCACTATGTTTCTCGGAACAGAGTTACATGCACTTGAGGGGTAACTTCCACTGCAAAGTTTAACGTTGTAGAATATTCCATGGGGTCAATTGATCCCTTAATCTGTATCCAACATCTGTGGCTATTGTGGCTCTATGGCAGAATCTCCAGTTTAATAAGATAAAAGTTTCCGATTTTGTGCCCACGCTTAACACAGGGAATGCATCATCCGTTTATGACCCGGGCAGAATCAACCCGGTGCTTCCAACTTCCTACCACCGTTGAAACTCGGCTTATCCCTTTGCGCACCAGATCTAGATAGTGACTTGTCGATCACAAAAACAGACGAAGGGATCTGTAATGCTTAACTCCGGCTCAGCCGAGTTACAGAAACAACAGCAGGTGTATCTTCAGTGTAGTCGGACCTATCATGTGATTCTTTGAGCCTAGAGATGGACTATGTACATAGAACAAAGGCCGAGATCTGAGTTGAAGGCCGTATTTGGCATTCTGAAACATGCTAAGGATTGAGTAATGTCTCTTGACCTATGCGAATATGGGCTTAGATGATGGGCCCGAGTCAATTGACAAATACCAAGTACAGAATCACGGATGAACTGGAAGATCTTGTATCAACTGGTACCTAGTACATGTACTTATGAAACTATCATTAATTTTGGAAAACAATATATACTAACAGTTTACCCCGATCTTGGTCGACTAAAGAATCTGACTACATGTATATACCAAGAGTCTTGAGAGAGGGCTTGAGATACACCAAGAGTCTTGGGATGGATTAGGGAGGCGCAGGCGTACGTACATTTATAGTGTGGTTGTATCGAATCTGTTTGTATGTATATATCATCGACTAACTAAACTAAACAATACTACGTTTCACATATGGAGCCAAGGATCAACGAGTCACCTTTCTGGAGTCATCCAATGAGAAGTCGCCCAGGGCTACGGTTAGGTACATATATAGTTATCTCCGTTCCGGTCTGAGGAGCGGTTTACTCGGGGTCAAACCCTAACCCACATCACATCACCCTGGTAGGTCTTGTTCCGGCCTTGGCACCGGGAGTGACTCTTGAAGTGCACACGTGGGGTTCAAGCTTAATTCTAGCATAACTGAGATTATATGAGTACCGCAAAATCTGAGTTCGTTTGGACGGTTGCCAAGAGGACAGCTTTGCAGAGGAGCTGAAAAATATCACCCTTAACGGAAGAGATCAGAGCCTTTTACAGCAGGATTAAAGCCAACACCGCTCTTGGCAACCGTCCGAATGAACTCAGATTTTGCGGTATTATGTAGTCTACATCAGTCTGGACAGCCTTCTGGTTCGTTTGGTTTATCGAGATACAAGAATACATCGTCAACTTTGCAACAACGTCCGTGGAGATCGAGATCTTGAAAAGCCCAAGATTCGACCGCATTTATCAATTGATCAAATGATTATGTGACCGTAAGGTGGGGGCATAGATAGTATCTTGCGAGAAAGGCTTCACATTGTAATATCAAACCCCTCATGCGAGTAATCTATAGGAAAGAAGAGTCTTACTATTTCATATAACTACAAGCTACTCTAGATAATTAAGCCCAGTATGTTGAACTACCGTGTACCTCCTATATGTATATCGTGCGACAATTACTTAATATTTGAGCTTTAGTCCCTGAGTTTCTGTCATAGGAATAACGTTGCGGCAAAACCCTTGCAGATACATAAGCAGCTTGTTTGCCTAGGCCTAGGCGGATCCGAAAGTAGACCTTGATAAGGCTTTGAATTAATGCATGTACGATTCTTTTGTCGTTTCTGGAAAGGTTTTGATGACATGTGCAAAACACGTTTTGGAGAAAGAATAATCTCGAGCTGGATAATGCTGTCCAATCGGATTTTGTGGGGATAAAAGTTGTTTCCCCGATTGAAGAAATACTACGCAGGATCTGCGAGGTGCACATGATCAATTGTTACAAGCTTGAACTTTTAATATTGTGTACGCTTCCACACAAATATTGCGCGTCTTTATCATCTTCTTTCGTGGGCCCACTAGCCGGGTCCCAAACTCCCACCGTTAGATATATGATGGCTATAGGAGATATGGAAGCTTTGAACTTGTGTCTTGTGGTATTTGAGGTGTTATATTTAACGACTTGCGCTCTTCTATCGAGAAACAATCCAGGAAAACAATCGAAAAGAAAATGATTTGAAAAACACGGCCCCGGTCTTGGTCTCACTGAAGATAAAGATGGAGACTAAAGAAAGGAAGCAAAGGAACGATCAATCTACAAATGACAAATGAACTCTATATCCAGGGAGTAGTAAGGAAATGAATCAAATGAAATCACCCCCTGTTCTGCTATCTTGATCTATGCATAGTCCAAGAGCTGACGGAAGCCGTCAAAGCGACCCTCAGGATCAACCCTCCGCTTCAATTGGGTAAGCCTCTGGACCTGACCTTCATAGCCCCAGGAGTCTTCAAGGGTATTGTAGGTTCCCTTGCCGTAGTTGAGGTAGACATGCTTTTCGCCATATCCGGTGTAGTTGTTGAAGATCTTCTCTTGCTCCATCAACCAGTCGTCGACCAAGGTGCTGAAGCGCCCATCGGTATAGGTTGCTTGGAAGATTCTATCCAGAGGGTTAGTAAGGCCATTCTTCATTAACAGCCAATATGAGAGCTACATACCCGAAGTGTTTGGACTGGCCTCTCCAGCGGTAAGCCGTGGAGTCTACATCAACGGCTTCGACTCCTTGCTGAGGGAAAGTCTCGAAGATAAAGTTCATGGTCACATTGGCGCCGTACAGCTCAACAAACTTCTCCCAGTTATCGAACAGACGCTGGATACCTTCAGGGCTGTATGTGTCCATGGCAAGAGAGTAAGAGTTTCTGTACTTGTTTGGTGTGCAAAGCTCGCTGTTGAGGCCTGCCTGGACTCGCCATGGAAGAGAATCCCAGGAGACAACACGGTCGGAGAAGGAGATGGGGTTGATATCCAGCCAATCCTGGAGCAGCCCCTCGGCATCGGCCTGTGGCCCGGAGTAAACAAAGTTCACAGCGATAACGGGACCTCCGGTAGAGCCGACTGGGACGGTGACGTAGAAGAGAGCGAGGTTCTCATTCAAAGGCGCGGCCTGAGCATTGATCACTTTGAGAGTATCTTGAAGCTGGCTCATGGAGAATTCCATATCCACGGTGTAATGCATTCCATCGTTCACCTGGTCATAAACTTGGTATGTTGCTGAAGTTGCGATACCAAAGTTCTGGCCAGCACCACGTGCACCCCACCAGAGCTCGGGATCCGTTTGGTTATTGAGTGTGATTGCGGTACCGTTGGCGAGCACATAGCGCAACTCGACGAGGTTGTCAATGATCAATCCGTGCCTTCCCATCAAACGGCCAACACCACCGCCCATGGTGACTCCCAGCACACCAGTACAAGGACAAGATCCAGCAGCTATTCAAGGTCAGAGAAATTGATTCGCTTAATCCAATTGTGGGGAAGAACATACTGATTTCTTTTCCTACAGCGTGGGTTGCGTTGATCATTTCACCGGTTGTAATACCACCGCCGACAGTCACCTGAGAGGTCGCATTATCATATCTGGCGTAATTCAATCCTCTCATGTCAATCATGATAGAATTGCGGACACGAGACAAGGTTGTAGACAAGCCGTGACCGCCGCTCTTAGCAAGGAAAGTAATGTTGTTTGCTGTTGCGAATTGCACCTGTAACTGAGTGAGCAATCCGAAACTGACGAATATAAAAACAAAAAAGATCTTCAAGTAGGATGGGACATACAGTAGCTACAACATCATCTTCAGAAGCAACATGTACTACCAGTTGGAAATCAGGGCGATTGAGCTCTGTGAATCGTTCGCTGGAGACCGTGAATCCGCTATCCGTAGGGTAGTAGATACTGGCGCCAGATGAGAGCAACGGAATAAGCCCATCTTCAACTTGGCGCTTCATAAAATGACCAGAAACGGCTGTAAAGGCATATGCCGTGGCGAGAAGAGTACTGAAATGCATCTTGGTTCTTTGTACTCTGGAAGTTTCAACTCGAGAAATTGATGAGATGGAAGTCTGATCGAAGGAGTTGATGGTGGAAAGGAAGAACTGGAAGCTGATGAGATGAGGGAATCCAGAGGTGAGACTTGACCATTATATATTTATCTTTGATATCAACAAACTCAGCTTGTCACTAGAGCTTGACGAGCTTTGCGTAGCTGATTATGGTGCCAATATCGCCTGACCATTTGAGAGTAGCAGGCCTCGCTGTATCGTCTCCCGAGTAAGACATCTCAGATACCAGCCTACGAGCAGCAACTATGGTCCCAAACCCACTTCACACTCGAAGATTTCGACAGCAACAGCAACGACGAAATTAGCATCAAGGTTTCCGGTGATGATTCGACAACGGAACAGAGTAAAATGGTCGTCACTTGAATTGAGGCCTAAGCTTTTTGTTTCAAAAGGAGTTAATTTGGATGATAGCGTGGGGTCAGTGAGGCTGAATTCAAGACATAATGATTGAGAGAAATCCTTAATATCTGTGCATGTTCATGCAACCGTTTCTGTAATCCATGCAATTCAAACCCGCGCACCAGAGACTCGCTGCGCATGAATGTTCCTGCATACTATTGCGGATCTATCGAACCATTTGGGGACATGAGTCGGCGACCCCATAAAACAAATTAGGACTTTAGCAGCAAAACCAACTTATATTTTCCCCATTCGTAAAGCGTGGCTGTGGAGGTTCGACAGGGTTGTTCGCGCAGCCCTTGCAACACCCAATAGTAGGAGGCCAAGGACGGGCCAAGCCGAACTGCCGTCCTCAAGTAACACTTCTGACCCGAGTATTCGATACATATACATGTCACTTTACCTAATTTGTGCTGCACAAGCAATTCATAGCATCAGCGCTGGGAAATCCTGAGTTGATAGTGAAGAAACCTGATGGAGGTGAGACTTTGTGCAGCTACGTAGTACTAGTACACTAGTAGTGGCCCACCTCGCGACCGCGAGGCCTTGCTTCTGCTCAGGAATCTCTGCCACCTTTGTAGTATTTCCTATATCCAGTGCACCCATAGTAGTTGGCCGGCTCCAGTAGTTAATTAATGTTTCCCTTAGCAATCTACAGTACGTAGTTGCCCATGGCCAGCTCCCACGTTGGCCATAGCCAGCTCTCACGTTAGCCACAGTCAGCTCCTACTGTTGACCATAGCCCGCTCTAATAGTCACTCATTGCCAGCTCCCGCAAATGTCCACCTCCTCCATAGTGATTCAGTTCCTTCAGTTAATAATAAGGTTCCAATTCCAATACCGCCTCCAATTAATTCCAGTTCCAGCTGATGCCACCTCCAGTTAATTCCACCTCCAATGCCATCCTGTTAATGAGTTTGGCATGCCAGTGTCAATTTTTGATGGGTGGGCTGGTTGCTATACAGGGTTAGGGTTCCTCGCTCTCGACCAATCATCTGCCCAAGCGTTCCGCAAAACCATAATCCAGTACATAATAGACTAGCAGTGGCCACTTCGCGACCGCGAAGGAGGGTTCTGGAAATATGCCAGTGGGCGGGTTACTGCTGCAACTTCAAGTTGGGCGGGTTACTGTTGCTCCAATGATGAATAAATAGAGCCAGAAAATTTCTCTTATCCACTTCATTCATCGTCATCAACAAACAATTCATCATCCACAAACAATGTCTACTACTACTACCCCCATCATGTCTGCAAAGAGCAATAAAACCGCCAAACTTCCTGCCAAGCCTCATGCCAAGCGCACCCCGGCTGCCAAGCCTCCAGCCAAGCGCACACGGGCTACCAAGGCTTCCAAAACCGCCGAGAGTTCTAAAACCGCAGAACTTTCTGCCAAGTCTTCCGAAACCGCCAAGCCTACCGAAATCGCCGAGCCGGTTCCCAAGCCTTCTGATTCTGGCACCCCTACCGCCACCCCCAAGCCTATCGCTAAGCCTCCCGCCAAGCGCACCCGAGCTGCCAAGGCTTCTAAGAGCGCCGAGAGTTCTAAAACCGCCGAGCTTCCTGCCGAGCCTTCTGCTTCTGGTACCCCTGCTGCCAAGCCTTCCGATACCGCCGAGCCGATTACCAAGCCTTCCGATTCAGGCACCTCTGCTGCCAAGCCTTCCGATACCGCCGAGCCGATTGCCAAGCCGTCCGATTCCGGCACCCCTGCTGCCAAGCCTTCCGAAACCCGCCCCATTCAGTATCATGAGTCAGCTGCTGAGGCATTAGTAATGGGTGGTGTTACCAATACTGCTACTGCTAAGAAATTGGCTAGTATGGATTGGATTAGACCTGTTATGATTAAGGAAGACAGGGGTCTTAATATGGCAAGGCCAGTTAATGTTGAGGCTATATTGGGATACAGCAGGGGTGAACTTGCAGAGGCAGTTTGTGACTGTTGTACTGACGATAAGGGCCCTTTTATTGAATGTGTAACTGTGCAGGGTATGTTTGCAGGTAGTTGCACCAATTGCCACTACAATAGCTAAGGCAAATATTGCAATTTTCGTCCTGGTATGTAATTTACAATTCCTACAATGTCTTACAATGTGTTTACAGTGACTTACAAACATATACAATAGAAATTAAACCTCGCGAACGCTCTGCACTCATTGCAAGCTCTTCTACAGTTACTGCGGAGGGTGCAGACAGGCATAGGAGAGTTGCAAAGAGGAAGCGGTCCACTACCAAGGAAAAATGGTGGAGGCTTTTGATAGCGGTGGAGGGAGTGGCTGATGCAATTGAGGATATCATGAACGAAATGGAAGATTAAATGTAATCAGACTCTAAGTTAGTTAGAAACATTTCCAATAGCTTTAACAATAGAAAGTTTGTGTTTGCAACTCTCACAACTATCTTACAGCTGATTACAATTGATATTTCTTTTCTGCAAGTTTATGCAAGGAGTTGTATATGATTGTAAGCTTTAATTTGTTCCTGCAACAGTGTAATAAATGCCGTAACTCACTGCAATTGAAAGATATAAGACAGTAAGGGGTATTCTATAATGTGCAACTCTTATCCCCTCAACAGTACCTCCGGATACACTATGTTCTCAGTTTCCCTACCCCTCTCCTCTGTTTGCAAGATTCGTAACTTATTGACGTCTGTTGCCCTTGACAAAGCAACATACAATTGTCCATGGGTAAAAGATGAAGTTCGTAAATCGATACCTACAATGTCAAGTAATTGTCCCTGTGCCCTATTTACTGTCATTGCAAAACACAATCTTACAGGAAATTGTTTTCGAGTTAAGTCTCTGCAATATGGTAAGATCAAGGTTGGGATGTGCCTCATGTCGTACACCAGCTGCATACTCAGGGTAGTAAAAATATAGCTGTGCAAAGCTTGGTGAGGCGTTCTGTTGTGGATGCAATGGTCCTTGCATATGGTAAAGCTCTCCATGGATTTGAAAACATTGCAAACCACCACTTTGCGCTGGAGCCCGTTGATCAGCAGTATATTTTACCGATGTAAACGTGAGTGCAGCATTGTATTCACGAATACTGGTCCGAAATCTTCTTGCAACCGGATCAGGAGACTGCAAAAGATATTGTAAATACGGAGGTGGTGCTTGCAAAGGTAACAGCTGAACATCTCCCTTTTTACAACAGATTTCAAAGCGTGGCTTTATCTTTGAACTTGCTGCAATTCGCTCATCAATCCAATGCAAAGCTGAACAGGACTCGCAAACGATCGTCATTGAGCCCATATTCAATTCTTTCCATTGTAAACGGGAACTGAGAAATGCGCAAGGAAAGGCAGAACGTATTCCTTGTATTACAGCTCTGGGTGGGGATAGCTATCAACAGAAGTTGTAAGCATTTATAAGATGCAATTCTTAAGTATTATAGTACATACCTCTAATGTTTCTACTGTTTGCCCGGCTCGCAAAGAAGCACGTCTTTGTCTCATCTCCGCTTGTCTTCTCTGCAAATTGTCAAATAATGTTTCTATTGGTTGTTGCAGAGATACATACCAAACAATCTCTACATGATCTCAAAAGAGAACCGCGGCGGTTTCTATCATATTCCGCAATGGCTTTATCATGCTTGCATTGGGAGCATTTGGCAGTAGACATGATTGTGAGGTATGGATGCTTTTTGTTAAGATAATTGAATTGAAAGATGGTGGGGAATGAAATTTGTGGTCAAGAAGGTGTAGTTACCCATCCCTTGAAAACCGGGTTTTTTTTTTCTTTGGTTACCCTACCTTCCCAACCTGTTCCCATCCCATAAAAATACTATTGTTACCGCACCTCTGCACCCCTGTCACCAACCCCTGTCCAATTCCGAAAACGGCTTAGCTTCTTATTTTTGAGAAACACTGTATTGTAGTACTATATAGACATGTAACATGTACAAGGCTCTGGGATTTAGTGAGTGAACGGATCCTCACTTGTCAACACCCATTTAGTTCGCTCACGTAATGCCAGAGCCTTGTACATACCGCTAAATCTCGAGTTATTCGGGGGGTTGCCAAGGCAAAAAGCTGAGGATCTTCACCTTTAGAGGAAGCGATCTTCAAGAAAACAGCCCTCTTTTACAGGATCTAAACTAAATCTAGTTTAGCAGGTGGCCTTGGCAACCCCCCGAATAACTCGAGATTTAGCGGTATGTAGGTACAGCATGCACACACTCGTTTACAACGGTCGTCTACTGGTCGATTCTAACTACGACGTAGCACTACATGTGCATTTACAATACAATGGAGAACCACATGTATGAATTTGAGTCTTGTTTATTTTGGGATTCTCAGATTTCCAATACCTATTCGGTCTCTGTCCAACGTTCCCCCCTGCACTAGTCACTCTCAACGACGGCATGCACAGAGTAATATTACAAGGGTTGACCTCATAACCGAGTGAATGATATTGGCCATTGTGGACGAAACCATGATTTTTGGAGCTTCACGCGTACTAGGAAGTATGAACTTAATAGCGGTGTATTATCATTACATACTTGACTTTCACTGCAAGTGCTCTATATACGTATGTAGCTGCACGGAAATAAAGAATTCAAGAGTGCAAAGTACAAAGCAATGTGTCAAGTTCTTAGATACATACATATACGTTCTGCCGCCTCATCTCCACAAGTACACGCCTGCTTTATAGTTTCGAAGCCGGCTTTCCGACCTCGACAGGTTGCTGAGTGTTCATAGACTTTGCAACTGCCTCAATGACCATCAGAGATTTGCAGGCCTCCAGCGCCGAGCAATTGGGCCCCTTCATTCCCTTATGCACTTTCACAAAGTCTTGCAGCTGCAGCGTAAGAGGCATAACATCGTCGATCTCTGACTTAAGACTGTCGTCGTATTCCATCTCATTGTACCAACTCCCGTTACCATTGGCCGAGTCGTAATGCCAGCGACGAAGCTCCGGAAGTGAGAGAGAGCCTTTGGTGCCTAGAATAGTGTATACGGACTGGCCTAATTTGGGGATGTATGGGCTCTCGCCTGTGGCCGATTCCCAGTTGTACGGCGATGCACTGCAGTCAGAAACGATGAATGTCCCAACGATCCCGCTGTCGAATCGCATTGTCATGACAACCGTTTCCTCCACCTCATAACCCCGGGTTGACATGCCTTTCTCAACGTAAACCCGCTCGATGTCGCCGAACAGATAACGCAAATTGTCGATTTCGTGCACCAAATTAACAAGAATTGGCCCTCCGGTGCCGACCTGCGTACGCCACTCGTCTTTGAAGTAATTGAGATCCTTCAACAAGGCCCAGGTCCCCTGGAACGCAACAATCTTGCCAAGTATACCGCTGGTGATTGCCTTTTTTGCGGCACGAATATATGTATTGAAGCGTCTATGATGGCCGACAAGAACCGCTGCGGACGATCCACGTCCCTTGGCCCTCCCTAATGCCTCAAGTAGGGCTGTCGTAGAAGAACTATCAGCCGCTATGGGCTTCTCTACCAGCGCCGTGATATCGTTGTCGATAAGGAGGATACCGATTGGGACATGGGTATTATTTGGGGTTGCAACAATGGCAGCATCGACAACGACCTTTCCCTCAGCACGAGCTGCAAGAAGCTCTTCCGTGGTTTTAAAGATCGGAACATGGTGTTTATTGGCCAACTCATTTACACGGTCGGTTTGGGAGGCACCCACAAGTGCACTAAGAGCTGTCAAAGGCTCTTGCAAAATATGATCAACATGGCGAACTCCAATGAGACCTGCGGCGCCGACAACAGCCTATCAATCAATCGTTATCTCTAATAATTGAAGTTGAGGACAGCAGCTGTACATACAATTTTGACTGGATTTTCTTGGCTCATTTTGTAGGATATTGTTGAGTATCTTGGCTAAGCTCACTGACATTGAGTAACTAGCAATAAAAACAGTATTTGATCCAAAGTCTGTCTTTCCATTCGCGTTCATTTGCTTTATATAACTATTCACAATTTGTATACGTCTTCCAATGCCTTATACCCGAGGTTAACCCCCGCAAGAAAGTGATTGAAGCTCACGGATGAAGCTGTCTACGGGCATTCTTCAGTTATTACTGAGAAAACGGACTTAATATTATCCGCGCATATAGAATCTTCCATAGAATGCACTAGATAGCCTGTTGATCACTAATTATTTGGGTTTTGACGCGGGGGTTCGCCAAGAGTACAGAAATGATGACGTAAATTCCACGATCTTCCCCCTGTAACCCCAATTCAGCCGAAAGTGCCGGGCTTAAGCGCCGATATCCGACCTCGATTGCGGCTGCTGGGGGCAATTCACCACCGAGGTCCCCAGATTCCATTTGTCGGTAAAGGATTTCAGCTTTGGGTACGTGCATCAACAAAGCTTCTTCCGGTGGCGGCTTTTGTACCTACATATGTATGCAAATGCACTTATGCAAGGACAATTGTGGGGGTTGTGCCAAGACCTCCCAGGACAGGTGGGGTTCCTTGTCTGATGGGATGGCGCCGCCAGGGTCTGCATGTACCTACATGTATATACTCGAGTGTACCGGGTGTTCACCATTAATGTGAACTCCTCTGCTTCATTGGTTGAAAATGCAGGGATTTTATATGGGAGCCACGAATGACAACCAATTATCATCAATCACACCGGCCTTAGCGCACCAAATTTGTATGGGGAAAAAAGTCTGAAGAACTTTCATATATCTTCACTCAAAAATCTAAATATTTTGCTAAAAATACAAAAAAAATAACTGCAGAATAGCGCTGGCTCCCAGCTTCCTCTAGGTAATATTGTGAGCTCATAAGCCCTTGTTGGGAGTGTTTTTTGATGAAACTGGGTGCAAACAACAGTCAAATTGCGGTCTCGGAGGTTGCGTTGCAAAAGATGGGGGGTAGCCTATTCAAGTACTTTTTCTGGCGCCAAGTATCATTTTCTGCAGCTTCAACCAATCATACGCCAAAAAAGGGTTCTTCAGACTAACCCATAACCCCCGGTACATACAACATGTACTCGTCTTGCAGCTTGGTGAACTCTAGATAGTTCAAGGTTGTCGAGCTGAACAATTCGGTGTAACTTTTGATAAGTTTGACTCTACCTGAATTTGTCTTGTACCTCTAGCCTTTTGATTACGCTGCTCAGCACAGATGCACTCATGATTATTGAAGCATGGTCTGAATATTTCGTCAAGATAATTCTGAATATCGTATTTAGTGAACAATGAGTTTGTTATCATTGCAGTTCTGTTTAATTTCATGCAGTTCACAGAGCAAGACCTGGGAATTTTAATGTAAGAAACAGGCGTTCCGAGTGATGTCTCATGATTCAGAGATTGCCGCATCCAATCACCACAACACGAGCTTGCGGTTTGGAAATCAACGTTTAAGCATAGAATCTAACTTTGCGTGTCATATCTTTCACTGCTCTCATCCTTCTTAATTCTTTCAGCCTAGGCGACGGCCGATACTTCTTTTGAGAAACGTATTATCTTGTGCAAACGCTCAGAAAGTATGTGTCATTCGAAATTCCCGAGTAGTTCTTAATGAGGGAAAAGCCACTGAGAGCATTCGATGAGATCTAGGGCTAGCGGTTGAAGTTTGCGGTTGAGGAATAGTGCGTGCTAAGCCGCGAGACAATATCATAAGAGCAGCTAAGTACAGCGAAAGCTTGCTATAACGGAACCTTCTATAAGGGTAATCTCTCTATAACGGTAGCACTTCTTGGTCCTTTTTGCCCGGATTTCAGCACAATCACCTCTTATATAAGGGTAATCTCTCTATAACGGTACCAAATTCCGGTCACGAGCATACCGTTACAGCAAGCTTTCGCTGTAAACGGATATATATATTGAACTTCTTTTTCTGTCCTCTCGCTTTGGCGCACCTACGCACTTGGTTCAAAAAAGGATTCGCAAGGATCTTATCAATTGCTCGAAATTCAACTTGGAACAGAAATACTCAGGGAACCATAAGACGAATACTGGAGATTTATTTGGTATTCTTAATAGAGTAGCATGACGGAACCATGATCTAAAGATTGACAGCCCTAACAAGTGATAAGATTGCGTGAAGCGAAGCATTGGCATGTGCCACGACTGCAAAAACTGAAGGTTGAAATTTCACAGATTGTTGAGCGTTAGTATATTAGTATTCTCCCAGCCGGTTAGAGAGACAAGAACTTTAGAGTTCAAAGTCCTCAAATTGTTCTTTGCCCTCGGTCACATCAGATTTGTATCGCGTGATAACTGCCATAGAACGTTCGAGAATTTTCTGGCCCAAGGTGTCAGCTCTTGATGGAAAGAGATATAAGCGAGACGAGTACCTTGGTCACAACCATGGACTGCATGATTTCAAAGACGGAATGGAATTTTTCAAGGGTTGTGGGGACAGTCCGCAAACGGCCCCGCTGAAGCAGGAACACATTACTACTCACAGCAGTCATACGGGAAATCTGGATAGTGAAACCTTGGCCGGGATCAATAACGGTAATAGCCAAAGAGTGAGAATCTATGCTTCTTACCAACATGCTGTATTCCCACAACTTGTAGCTGTTTCACTACCTCCCAGTCATCGTCAACCTGTCTCTTTAGCTGACATAGCATAGAACGGAGTATGTTCTGAAGCTTGGTGCTATCGATTGCCCTTTTTTTCGGGGCAATGGCGTCTGCAGTGCGGGCGACCTCGATAGCGCCAAATTCGCTGACTTCGATACCGGCGAGCGCAAGCATAATTGCATCAAACCGTTTGTTGTCTTTCAGCTCTGATTTTGATTTAATCTCGGTACTGTAGGATCTTTCTGCGATTAGAGCTGATACGAATCATGGGAGAGAGATATATGCTCACCGTGAGACAACGAGATTATCAACGCCAAGGAGACTCCGATCAACGATAGGGCCCCACACATTGCTACCGAACCAGCCTTCGCGAAGTGCCTGCGGGCCCAGCCACTCACATGATTTGAGGGATTCCATCATTGAGAGTCTACAATTCAGGGTAAGTTCACACAGAGGTCATGGGGGTGTCGATATAATGCAAAAGACACCTACATCGAACCAGCCGCAGTATTGACATAGGTGGCGTCAAAGTTCCTTGAGCGGTCATAGAGCTCAAGTGGAGGACGGGGCGAGGACTCCACAACACTCCACAATTCCTGAACGGTCTTGGCCCCGGAAAATCTACGAACAGCATACTTGAATGATTCGTCTACTTCTGGTAGCGGCGGCAGAGACTCGCGTAGCTCGGCTAGCTCTGCGGCTTCGAACCAACTTGAGACACGGTCGTCATCAAGGTCAAGAATACAACGAAGGATGGGGTTGCCCTCGAGTGACGATACAGTCTCATCGTTCTCTTGAACTCCGTCGTATATAATCTCCTCAAGGACTCTGCCTGAAGTAGCAAAAATTCTTCGGTTTTTCAGGGATGGAAAGCGTGAGTAGAACTCGCCATAATCGGGGTCAAAGTCGCAGAAATTCTCGCTCGTTCGATTTAGTCGCTGCGGAGGGTCTATGGACTGGAGAGGATGGGCAAGATCCGGAGATACAGGCTGGGCATCGGTGACATCGCCACCAGTATCATGAATAGTCTGGGTACAGTTAGTACATATGGGGGAGAAAAGAGAAATGGGTGTCAGGTTAAAGAAGTGACAAGATGTTCATACACTAGTTACGCGGTCGCCATTAACAATTTGGACATCATTATAGGCCTCGACCATATCTCCCAGGCAGACAGGATCATCAATAGATCCTGCTACGTTATCGGGGCTTTGAGGACGGTCCGGATATGAAGAGGGGGCGAGTGCCCTACGTTTGGCACGACTGGCAGTCGATGAAGACTCGCGTTTTCTCACAGTGGTGCGATTGCCGTTGTGAATTGAAACATCATGGCCTGAGTGAATGATATCACCGTGAACGACGAAGCTTGGGACGACCTCTGTGGTACTAGATTGTGCATTGGAGCGCTGCTGATGCTAAATTATGAGTTGATCACGGTCAGCAAGCCAATAACCCAACTACTGGACAGGACCAGATATCCGATTTAGAATCTGCGTCCAGTGGGCCCAACGTTGGAAAAGTGGACCCGATGCGCTTGAGGTGGAGAGGAGAGCGGCCTTGAGGAAAGAAGAAGGCGAGCTTACAGTATTTCTATGCTTGTCAATTAGCGACCGTGCCTTTTTCTTCCTATCGGCGCTTTCCTCCAGGGAATCCTCAATCTTTTCGAGCGCTTTGATATAGCGCGAATTCACGATGTCGAGTCGAATTGGTGGTACTAAGGTAGCGTAATGAGAGAGAAAGCTTCGGTACGTCCAGGATGAGGGTGGGTTGTCTCGAAAGTATTTGTTGCAGAAGTTGATGCCATCGCTTGAGGGGGGTTTGTTTTGAGGGGTATTGGGAGTTTGTTGATCCATTCCATGAGCGAAGGCAGGTGGTGATGATAGAGCTGATGGAGACGACGGGTTCGTGTTGGTCCTACGCGATTGGCTGGGATTGGGAAGGGCTTGGCAGAACCGACATATATAATTAGTTGACTAAGAACTGCCAAGATGGTATGTACTAGCGATGCCGGCTGAAATTTCGGTCACGTGAAGGTTAAATAATGCGTAGGTGAGAGTAGAAACGGGCATGCCTTTGCCACTCTCTAGATGTATCCCCACGTGACCGGAATTCCAGTCGGCATTGCTAGTACATACTGGAGCTGCACTGCGGGTAGCAACGCCCTGAAGCTTTAGTATCTAATTGAGTACTCTTACTCTACAAGGGCTCGAAGTTGGCCTCTCAAGCTGCTGCGCGGCTTTCGACCCCTCCTCTCTCGCACTTGTAATAGTCTTTAATACATACTTATATATGAGATTCCTTTTACTACCAAATTCGAAGTACATAGCTTTGTCCCCAGAGTTGCAACAATCTGTTGGTGGTGGTCGTTGATTATTTTTCTTGGTATCGAATAGGATAACTACATCAATGTACATACATCATGTCGTCTTTCTCTTTGTCCACCTCCACCTATAGATCTATGCTTTGGCAATTGGCTCAGCATTAAGACCTCAGAGCACAATTGATGACTCAGAATTTTGGCCTTTCTCACATTCCTTCGCTTAACCCTGAAGTTTACTTCAGGGCAATTGAGCTATGGCGCGGCTCGTACAACTACTCTACAAGACAAAAGGTCTCGAGACTATCTCAAGACACGAGACAAAACACAACATATCTAGGAAAAGAGAAGACGAAATAGGGCGAAAGATGGAATGGCATAGCCTCGAGACTTTTCGAAATATGCGAGTGATTGACTGTGACCTCGATATCAGCATCAAAACCTACTTGTGCTGAAGAAATTACATGTACTTAATGAACTAATAAATCCAATAGAACGACAACTGCTACGAAAGATCAAGCACATAACCTTATAGAACCCTCGGAAATCCTACCGGACATTTGAAATGTCTGCCTGGGAAGTAAGTTCCGATCCACGCCGCACAAAACTTGATACCTGACCCTAAGTCTCGAGACTTTGCACAACACATGGCTTAAGTATTGACAATCCCGAGAACTCTCTCTGTAATTTACGAGAAAAGACGAAACATCCTCAAGTATCGTCTTGTTCTGTATTGTGCCCACCACTACTAGTGATGGGCTGCACAGGACGAGATAACTTGAGACTTTGTCTTGAGACTTAACCTCGAGACGAGGTAATACCTGAGAGAATAGCAAGAAGGTAGGACTGGAAAGTCTTTCATTTGGTCTTGAGACCTACCACAGAATTTTCTCGCCAGCGTTCTTAATTGGGAGAGCCGAAAGTGGATTCAAATAACCCTAACCCTGGGACACATAGGATACCATGGCAACCGCCACACGGTGCCCTCGCAAGACCAGAAATGTCAACAAAGTCCCAAATCTCGTGGCCAAAACTATGAAATAAAAATATGAAAAAGTAGTTCAGTTTCAGGCTATTCTTTCTCTAATTTTCAGCTATTTTTTTGCTTCACTTTTGGGGGCTGTACACAAGGAGGAAAGCTGGCTGACGCTGGCCATAAAAGTCGCCTAATGCACCCCCAAAACACAAATTAAAAATCACAGATATTTCCAAATGACCCCGACAAGTGCAACTTATTAGATTTACAGCTGTCGCTATATTTTTTATTTTTTTATTGACAGTGAAGTCGTGGGATCTTTGGTGCATGCGCTGGTTGCCATGGCATCCTAGATATATATGGCCGTGGCATTGTAGTCTTTTACCGTACCATTACATAACTCATTTGATAACCTTTTCTGCACATATTATCACAGCTCCGCAAGACCACAAGACCACAAGCAAGACTATCCCATGGACCGTAACTGGTTTTGCACAGAATTCCGTGCAGATTTTAGTATGCTTTGATTCATTGCACCTTAAGTACGGTCATATCTAAATTGAAGACCATTGTACGATCATATCTACAGGTCTCAAGGAATATAGAAATAATTTTCTAATTCAGGTGTGACTTCTTGATCTGGAGCTCTGGCTGAATACATTGCAAATCCCATGAGTTTACACTCGAAAACTGCAAAAAGTGGAAAGATACTTACCCATTTTGCCTATATGGATTCTGACATTTTTTATTACGAGATTATGTTTAATAAATGATCCCTAGCCTATTTCAATTTATTTCGATTTTATTGGTTTCAGTATAAAATAAAAGATATCCGTTGCCACATTCTGAGATATTCATCTGCGGGTAAATCTTGTCATCCTGTATATTTTACATCCATTTCTACGCATTTACCATGATGTAAATTCATTAATAAATACAATAAAAATGCAAACTCAAGTGCGAAAGAGTCTCTATTATATGGCAAGAATCTTCTTCCGCAAGCTTGAGGGGGCACAAGAGAATTGATTTAGAGCTACAGCAGCTCGGGTAATTTATGTGACAAATTTGCACGAGATTTCGTGCAAAATCGCTGAGTTATGGTCCATGGGATTGAGTTATGGTCCATGGGATATACCTGTCTCAGGACCAGAAATAGTTAACTACCACAATCACAACCAGAAGGATACTACCGGCATCCACTTAGTCTTGTATTGTCTCGTGCCCATCAATAGCCGCATCCCATCAGCAAACTCCGGAACGTAGGCAAATGGGAATTGCGTTTTTCCTCTCTTCCTTTCTTTCATTATACAAGCAACAAGTTAACATTATTAATATACCATTCAATACCGTTTCCTACATTGGTCGTTGTGTACTTTCCCTGTCATAATCTGCACGGGGCCGGGGTTTTGTAGCATTTTGCCAACCTCTAGTCAGGCCCATCAGAGCTCGTCCCAGGGTCTTGCTAATAATGCCCTTATCAACCTTACCCACATCCATCCTAGTATATGTAGGTAAGTTCGTGGTAAGGCTGTCTTCCTCTTCATATGCTGGGGGTGAGGGCTCTGGTACAGGAGTGAGGCTATGCATGGGGTTGAGAACCGAATATTCGATTGACTTGGAAACCAACAAGGCTAGATCTTGCCATTTCTAGCTCTAGGAGAGGGCTTCTAAAAAACTATCGATAGGCCATAAGAACTACCAAGAAAGGTGAGATGTGCCTCGGAGTATTAGTGTTTCTTACTCGGCGAGGAAGATATACGGTTAATGTGTGTTAGAGGGCGGTGGTTGCAGGTGAGAATAGCCCTGCTTGCGGTATTTTTCGTGAATAGTGCGTCTACGGACAATTCAGATAACGTTACCTTTCGTATTACGAACCTTGTAACAGTGCTGGGGTACTGATTTGTGCTTGAGTTGGTGTCGAGAATCCCAAATTTTATGACAACTCCGTGGATCAGCAACTTAGTTATTTAAGGTCGATAAACGGACAGCAGGGAATGGGAGCCATAGTATGTGTTGAATGCGAGATTCCTTGGTCATGACGGCCGCTGGAAACGTCCGGGGAATTGCCCGTGACCATATCATACGCAGTTTAGATTTTCATCCATAGAAATACGATGTTGGATTTGCTTCTTCGCGGAATAACCCATCAAAATGGTCATACGGGTAAATATTGTGGTGCCCTCTCTGAAACGAAACTTGGCTTTGAGCACCTGCTTGCGGTAATCACAACAATGCTTCAAACCTGAAATATTAACGGGTTCAAAGCCGAAAGGATCTGGTACTGGGTCAGAGGTGCTAGTGATACGCGGCGTCCTATATAGTAATAGCAAGGTGGGTTTGCGATTCGGCCCGCAAGTGTTGGTAATTAACTTTAAAGGAAAAGCTGATATAGTTTATGTAACTGTGACGATAATCGGGGTTCTCTTAGAACAAATGTGTTCTTTCACCGCTGTCAGTTTCAACTAATTACGTACTAGAGGATATTGGAAAATCATTGAGCCAGTCTGAATCTTCGAATCTCGATGCACCCTAGCGTTTTGCATCGTTCACAGTAATCTTAGGATGGCCAGTAGAGTCTAATAAGGTTTTGTGAATTGGACGGCTTACTTTCGTTGGGTTCGGTGTGCGTAGTTATAGCCCTATATTAAACAAGTGTAATGTAGCCTCCCGCCGCAAATTCGCTAAAGCTTATGCCTAAGGGAGAGAAATTATACTGTCCAATCTATACACGACTTCTAAGTAGATATTGTAATGTCCAAAGCCAATCATCCATGATATCTATAGATCTATATCAACAGTCAGTACAAACTACCTACCTATGAAAGTGGATGTCGCATCCCTTCCGAACTCGGGAGTGGCTCTTTGTCCACTATCTATAGTACTCTACTGCATAGCAGCATTGGTAGAAGAAAAGCAACCAATCATAATGCTTCCTGACCACAAGGAGGAAGATTATACTATTTAGAATTTCCAGGTATATATTTAGAGTTTTCTTAGCTATATAAGTGATGATAACGACTATATATGACTTATTTAATAGCAAGGGAAATATATAGAGTGGGTAAGTTGAGGCAACGAAAGTTCTGCTTTACACTAGAAAGCTCCCCTCTCAAGGTATCTTGGCTGGGGAGAGCTCCTAATCATCCAAAGTCCTGTCTGATACACGCCTGTTTTCACAATGGAGAACTCCGATATATGCGCACCCGCCTCGCCCTGAGCCCAGATCACCACGCTAACTGTATTTTCCCCTTGATAATTCAGTATACCCTCAGGTACAGGGAATAAATGTTGTGGCCCAAAGTTCCCAACTTTTGGTAAGTTAGCGGTGCGGCATTGTTAGTAGATATGAGTTGAAGGACTTACTGTATCGCCCGAACTGGTATCCGTTCACAAAAAACAAAATACGGGAGTCGGCAGAGGCGGTAAGGTTGAATGACAAGGGGATATCATAACCAGGAGGCAGTTTCAGTTCAAACTCAGTACTGCGGCTGGTGTAAGCAGATGGAAACAGAGATGCTTTGGTTTATAGGGGTGAATATACGTGTAAAACTGCACGCCAGCGGTTTCCGTCCCCTTGAACGGAGACAGCGTCGGCCAAGAAGTCGTATCGACACCAGGTTGGTGAAAGCCTAGGTTTCACATATTAAAGATTTTGAGTATCAATCGAAGATGAACGCTAAACATTTCTTACCTTTTCGTTCGGCATATGTACCTCCTTCGTTGTAGGGTCCGCGCGCTTTGTCCGCGTACTAGATGAGGATTAAGGCAGGATTAATAGTGCGTTCATAACCATGGGTAGTTTCTCTGATTACATACATTCTCGCCTCCGTGGTTTCCTTGGATCTTCCAAGTGACAGCTGGCGTTGCGCTCCCGAAATTGTAGTTCCAGATACCTCGCGGATTCTACAAATCAGACACAACGTTATTACATGACGGAGAAATGAGGGATAAATGAGGGATGGAGTTATTACTGTAATGCCACCTGATTCGTTCTCATTGTATCCCATTTGTTGCTATAAACTTGGTTGTGAGTGATTCGCGAGTTATCAATGTTTAAAGGAATACTGACGTAGATAATTGTAACAACATTCTCTGTCCCCGCTGCCAATTGACTAAATGTGAATGTACTTTGACCACCGTGATTGGAAGCTGACCCTGGATTAGAGCCAATAAAAATCTCGTTGAGCCAGACTGAATATCCGAATCCCCATCCACCTAGCATTTGAACGTAGAATTCGGTTTCGTTCCCGGTAGCGGTGAAGTGGCCCCTGTATAGTATATATCCTGTATGAAACTATAGGCCTTGATTAGCTGACATATAGCTATTTTAGGGTACGGAATTTTCTCTACCCCGTATGTTCCTGAGTAAAGATCCGTGGGAGTCGTTAGGTTGCGGACACCGTTGACTGTTGTGGTGTTTGATGCGTCTGCCCATTTTGAGTCATCATAACCCGAGGTGACTTCCGGCAAATTGTCGATAGATTTCTATGATACAGTGATGTTAGAAGGATCGTGTAGGGGCTAGTCCCGAAATGATGAGCGTACCCATTCGAGTTCGCTCAGGATAGGAATATTGATTTCCGGGCTGGTAAATGTGATCAACCCGACAAGAGTGCCGGTGGCCGATCTAGTTGTACTGATGTCTTCGCCATTCCATTTAATTGAGCTGACCTTTCTGGACGCAATCACCTCTATTGGAACGGTAGCGTTGGTGTCTCCTGAAATGTGAAGGGTTGAATCAATGATGCAGGCATCACGAACAAGATAGGGCCCTTTGACGATGACATTTCCCTCCCCACCGCATAAGAGCGCCGGAACCCAGAATTTATACGCTTCAAACTTATCGAGGAGGTAAAGTTTGATATCCCGGCCGATTGACACAACGGACTGTCCGGTTGAGTTGTAGTTGAAGATAGCGGTGTCATTACTTATCCGCTTATCGAGAAGTGCGTTGCCTCGTAGAACAGTTATATTAGGTGCTTTGCCAGAAAATGTGAATGCAGTCTCATGGATTTCTCCCGGTGAGCCATAGAGAACCACGACGTAAGTATCGTCAACCTTCTGCCTGCATAGGTGTAAGGAAGGGGCAAAAAAGAATATGTAAGACAGGGAGAAAGCTCACCATGTGAAAAGCTCGGCAGAGGAGTATAGCATGTTGTGCGGCCCAATTTCATAATCTGTTAAATAGATCTGGACAAGAGGTTAGTAGGTTATGCTATGAGGGAAAATCAGGAAATCGTATACCCGCGAGTCTTTCCCCGGGAGGGTGAGAGTGCCTGAGAGCTGCGGAATAGTAATTTCCCCTTTACTTGTAGGAATCGTCAAGTTGAATTGAGAAATATTCGGCGACAACGGGCTTGAGTGTCTAAAAATGATGTGATTAGACCCTCCCACAAACTATAGTCACGCGCCATAGGTCGATATACCTCACAGTCCAAAAAGCAGTCTTATTACCAATTTCATCCTTTGTGCACGAAACAACGACATCAGTATTACTAGTATAAGAATTCGTCGACTTCACCAACAGTCTGGTGGTTAGGAAAGCAGGCGAGACAGCAAATAAATGTGCCTGGAGCTTCATCTCGGAATACTTCTCCCTGGCAATAGATCGATCTTCCGATATTGCGGTTACGAAGTCATATGTTGTGGGGGTTCTGTGGAATGAAAGATGACCCCAGTTTGTGCCGCCGTAAATCTGCGAGAAACAAGATGGTTAAACTTCCACTGTTCTGAGATTAGAGAGCTTTTGAGAATTACCATGTAAATGTTCATCGCTGTCACAGACATTGAGTATTGGTTTTTATACATGAGACGAAATACGAATGGATCCATAAATGAAGGACAGTTATTGTTGGCATCCGTCCATTGGGCATAGAACCCGCCGCCGTTCTACAGTTTATGATATAAGGTTCAGCATTAATTTGGTAGAAAGCGTTTGGACGCCTCTTACCTCTCCCAGGAAATGGGGATGTCCTGGAGCAAAGCTCAAATGCTTGTCCCAGTCCCCTTGGCTCAATGCTCCGTTCCAGTTTGAACAAGCTAAACAATGTCAGTCATGATTAATTATGCGGAGATATGCGTTCCTTATGCATACTGATTGGATATGTATCATAGGTGTAGATATCAATAACCCCCGAGCTAGCATAGTAACCATTATGAGTAACGTCGTTATGAATGAGAGGAACATTGATACCGGCCTCGATGAAGGTCTCTCGGAGATATCCCATATATTGATTAGCCGGCCAGTCATATCCCGGCGCAGCCGCCACCGAGAGTTCGTTCTCTAGCTGGAGTAAAATAATCGGTCCCCCGTTTGTAATCTGATGTGGCGCAAGTCGCCGGCTGATTTCATTGATGTATGGAGTTATTTGCTTGTAATAGGCCTCGTTGCTTACACGCCAGTAGATTCCCTCCGGGGCATGCTGGCGCCAGCCTGGAAAGCCACCGGCACTCAATTCTGAACGATGATGAGAATTAGCGTGTATGATTCAGGTGAAATTCAATTCTTTTTTGATGAGCCAATTAAATTATATTGATGGGAGTCAACTCACCGGCATTGATGTACGGTCCCGGCCGGACGATAACATATAGCCCTACTTTCTTTATTGCGTCGAAAAATGGCTCCCAGTCAAAGATGCCATTGAAGTTGAAGACTCCCTGCTCGGCTTCAACTAGACCCCAGTGAACATATACCGAGACGGCATTGTACCCAAGTGCTTTTAACTTATGCAGAATATCCAGCCAAAGATCAATGACTGGGAGTCTAGGGTTAGGGTTTTAGCGATGGTTCCCAACTGCACATAGGGTGTGAGTGACAGTTTTACATACCTCCATGGGTGGAACTAAACACATAAAATGGAAGGTTAATATGCATGTATATGGAGCGTTTCACCTATCGTGGGCGTTGGGAATTCACCTCTCCGCTATAGATATAGAGCCTCTTTCCGTTCACCGACATCGAATATTTATCCCATGTAACCTTGAGATCCCAACATTAGCACAATGAAAGTGAGACAACGCGTGCTATGAGGATGATATACATTTTCCTGTAGCCCATTCGTATCACGACTAAGTAGTAGGTTTGATGTAGCGAGCGACTGAGTGGGGGGTATTATATGGGAGTAAGAGCTTGTGATCAGAGATCCGAAGATCGCAAGTGCAACAAACACGAAAGACTTCATCGGAACAGAGAAGACCTATAACGTGGCCGGTAGAAAGCCTGCTGTGATATCATTTTGGTGGATCTATTGAGGTTATATATGTGACATTACTTCCTACGCCGATATAAGCTACGCATGCGCATTAGATATCAAGCTTTCTGCGAGATGTATGGGGGAACACGTGCGCGGGAAAGATGCCGGATAGCCCCCGGGTGTGATGGAAAAATCTTGACAAGATAGTAGATGGAAATGTTTCCGGAAGAAATATGCCGGGCCTCTTTTTTTAGGAGTATGTAGTGGTTTGGCCGCTCTTGCATGGTTGTGCGGGTAGACACCCCGCAGATTCACCGTTCCTCCGTGCAACCCCGCTGATTGCGCCGCTACCCGCATAACGCATGAAAACGGATGGTGCATTCCTCGCGGATCACCCACCATATGCAGTATCATTGGCAGGGTGGTCCCGTAAATTAAATGTTCTAGAAGGGTACTTTGTTGGAGACCAACGGATCCGGAGCGCAACACGGTTCCATGAATGTATGTAGTTACCTGACATCCGATGAAATGGGCTATGTTGCGGTGGGAACTATGGCCCTAGATACTGGAAAAGAATAAAGCTAAAAAGAGGCTCGCTGCATAATATGTTCGACCAGCGTCTTAGCGATATTTTTCATTACGGGGAGTCGTTGTTTGCCTATGTGCTATATAAGTATGGACGTATGTATGTATTTATGTAGTGTGTGGTGATGCCGTTAATCACTCAATCAACCTACATGTATACAAGCCGATTCCGGCCTTCGGCCGGTAGGGATAATGAAATAAAGAAGAATGAATACTCTACACGTCACTAGAGAGGTGTGGTATCGCTGTGGGGGTGTACTGTCACGTAGAGCTGTACTGGCGGTACAGGTTAAGGGGTGTCCTTTGATCAATTGAGCTGTACTACTATCGCCATACTCTGAGGGGGGTATTCGACGGTGTGTACTCTCGTCATGCTAGGGAGTTAAACATATCACAACCACTAAACACATATCACAATCACCACTAAGATTCACCAGTATACTTATTTTACATTTTATTAGCAGATTCAAACAATACCAAACAATACCAAAAGTATATCAAAATCACCAAAGGCATATCACAATCACCGAATAACAAAGAAGCGATAAACTCCAAAATAACCTTTCTTTTTTAGCTAACTCGCCCTATTCAATAGCTCGAGGAAAAGAAAACATCCAAAACCCAGCCATTCAAAACCTTTAAAATACACATTACATACTCGGTATAGCTATATACTAACTTGGCACGACACCCCCAGACTCTGACCCTATAGGTCTTGCAGGCCCGGAGGCAGTCGTACGCCCTGAACGAAGGCTTGGATTGTTTTCTAGTAACTGCCTTCTGGCGTACAGTCGAAAACATACTCGTGAGGCCGAGTTCCAACTAAATCATATGACCTGTGAGCAGAGCAAAAAGCCAACAATCGGCGCCACGTGAGTTAGTTGGAACTCGGCCTCGCGAGTATTAAATATTAATCTGTTGGTTGGGTTAGGGTTGCTGGTTCACATGGAATAGCCGATCAGAGAGCGATATAAGCTCTTACCCCCATAACCCTTCACTTCGTTCAGGGCATTAGATACAAGTATATAGCTATAAATGTAGGCTAGTATGTCGCTCGGTTATAGGGATCTATACACATATAAGGGTCTGCCCTATATTAATTCATATATCAAGAAGAAGGCTCGAATGGACTTCCAATAATTGGCCCCTAGTTATCGTGGGTCTAGATCTTAGGTGGAGATCGGAGCCACCACAGTATATAGGGAGGGGAGGGTTGACGGCGATACGTTATGATCATAAATTGAGGGAAGAAATATAGATTTCATTCACAATAGTTACGTTGGGGGAAATCCCGGTTGACATGCAGACCTGCATCGTGATTACTACTGCCATCTAAATCAATAAAATGGCTATAGGTATCTCCGCATCCTTGTTTCAAGAGAATGTTCAAAATACTATCTAGAATATATATAATAACGCATATTCTCGCTGTGAAATTGTATCGAGAGAGGTGTCATGTCGAATCGTATAAAGAGAGCTGTTAAGCATAATAAGAAAAAAATCTTTTATCTTCCCGAGCGCCAGAGGCCAAACCACTGAGTCGCCTTGTCCGAAAGGAGGACTAAGGTGATGGTCAATATAAGAAACTAGTAGCTGAAAATGATCACACGGAAGCCCTACCTATGAATATCAAGACACAGACTTGTGGAATAGGCCATGATCCGCCTCCTGAGGAGTAGAGGGTGCTTGTTGAAGATACCTCGGACATGGCGAAGAAGGCCACCGCCGGGGTAAATCGAAGACCCACGCATATCCAGTCGTAGATATCCAAACGACGTCGCACAAGAATTGCAAATAGGCCGTACATGATAAAGATAACTCCTAGGGAAAGGAAGAAGTATTTGAAAACCAGGTCAAAAAGCTGCCTGAAGCCGCTGAACCTGTCGCCAGAGTCCTCGGGCTCCCGATACGGGAACTTGAATCCGTAAAACTCGCTCAGATAGTAAGCCAGCTTTGCAACTAGTGCATTATACAGATCATTGTATGCTTCCATGAACTCCCGATCCCCATCTTGTAGAACAGAATCGTACATAAAGGTCTCGAGCTCATTCGTCCAATTCGTAACAATCGGCCACTCCTTGAGAACGGTCTTGGCGTAGTCATCGTTGTAGAAAAGGGCAAACGCATTGTTGAACTGGTCGATCATTTGGGTTCGATTATTTGGTCTCGTAGGTCCAGTAAACTTCCCCATCATATCGTCGGCCATGAGCTCGTAGTTTCTCAGAGTGGCGAGCTGCCGTAGACCCTCAACAGAGAGTACGATGGCTAGATGGAATGGAAAGTGGAGAAGGGTCCAAAGCTGTTGTCTGAACCTCCCGTAGTAGATTTTCATTGGATTGAAATCGAAGTAGAACATCCAATATAGATACTGTGTCATGAAGAGTTATTAGCCGTGGGATGTTTTAGTGGTCCCTGGTGACATGGTCGTACCACGATAATTACCAGAGAGATGGAATGGTGAGGGGTGAGGTAGGCCGGGCATAAGAGTAAAACGGCAAAAGAAAATGATGGCGGGAAATGAAAACACACAATTAAAGCGATTGAGGAGGATACCACTCCAAGGGTAGTCCAGGTCCAACCGAAGCCCTTGACAATTGTGTTTATTGCCTTTAACATGACGATGATGCCCTCCCCCAAGATTATCAAAGTCAACAGTCCCATTCGCTCAATTAAATGGGTCCTTTTAAAACTAACACATCCCCATATCGACGATGTGGTGATGACAGATATCACTTCAAAGGCCGCCATTATATACCTAGCAAGCACGGCAACTGTCAGCAAAGGGGTGTCAATAGGAACTTCGAAAGAGTGTTCTTGTACCAAGATAGGTAGTACTTCTCGGTGTGGCCATGACGGAAAGAGAAGTATATCTAGATTGGATCAGCATCTGGCGGACTTAAGGATGTGAGGACTTAAAGGGACAAAGGTTAATAGCCAAGCTCAAATTTGGATCTAAACCGAGCTCACTTTTAACCCTCTGCCTCTGAAGTCTCCTAGTATGCGGCACTACGGAAAGATTATATCTTACACCGAGGTAAACAGAAGCTGAAATAATCATGACTGAACCATGAATGGCCAGCGGAAGGTTAGTTCTCGGCTTTGACCTCCCGAAATACATGACCACAAAATACTGGATACTCAGAATAACTCTTGAGAACATAAGAGTGAGTGTCATCGTCCTCAAAGCGGTGATGGTAATATCGTCGTCTGGACTGAATGGATCCCAGGTTGTTGATACTGACGCAAATGCTCCCATTACCGCAAAGTGAAGGGCTTTGCATACCCTCTCGTAAACCGAGTCAACGGAAAATCTCACATCCAGAAGTGTAACATGGAGCCAGGTGAACCATAAGATGATAAAGTATAGAATATAGGAAGAAAGCGCTATCACGATGATATTAGCAAGCTGTTTAGGTTGTTCCACCAAGCCCAGGAGTAAAATTACTTTTGGATTCAGTGATATAGTGCACTGATGTTACGGTTGTCAGATTTGCAACAAAGAATAAATCGTAGAATAACTCAATCGGTGTGGCTTCCTCAACCTCCTCGGCTTCAGCGGCATCCTCGGCTTCAGGGACATCCTCAATTCCCTTCTCTTCTTGTGCTTTTATAGGCCCATCTACAGGTCCAATTACGTCTTCAGTAGAAGCACCCCGCTTATCTTGGGGTGATTGAAGTGTCATTATTGGTTGATCATGGTTTGAAAGATTTGGATGAGTATGAAGTTTTGCGAAAGGGTTCGCTATCCAAGGAAGCTGAGCTGCTCGTCTCTGGCGCGCTCGCTGCCTGTTTGGTAAAAAGATACAGATTAGCACAAATTAAATACACACATCATCACATTGAATCATGCAGGCGAAACCTACTGCCTAAAATCTGATGTCATTGCCAATTCTGATTTGGAATGGAGCTTGAGTAGATATGTTGAGCGAGGGATAGGCTTGAGCCCGGTATGGGGGGGAGTTATGGCTTTAAATCAAAGGCGCGTCGACTTATCACGACTTGGCTTATATGTCTTGGGTGTAGCATGCTCTTCATATAGTCAGGAGGACAATGTAACCGCGATGTAGCTGTGTAAGTTGAGTTACGTATACATCAACTATAGGAAAGCGTGTGTTTATCTTCGTATAGACCTTGCTATCGTATTCGGGAACCTGCATCGGTGTACCCTTGACTGGCTATATGTGATACGCGGTGAGGGAGTGTTCCTGATACGCTCTAGTTTGACAAATCCTTCGAGGATATAGTTGTACCGAGAGCAGACATGCCGGGATTGAGGAAGGTATTTGCGTTGATGAGCCCATTTCAATAGAGTTGTATGTAGTTATGAGACATGGTTCCATATGATCTGGAACGTCGAGGAAGCGGGAGTTCAGTAGTCGTATAGAATTTAAACGGAATCTCAAAAGGCAATGCAGGGGGCCGAAGTACAGCCCCATATGAAATAGAAGGTTGACTGGTTTCTAGAAATCAAGGCTTACATATAGAAGAGTCATGGGGGTAGGAAATTTTTTGAAACAATCCCATGGTGTCTACAAAGGCGTTGCCGACACACCTAATGTCAAACATGGTTCAGAGAAATGCAATGTGTCTTTCGCCGGCAGATGATATGAGAAGCACAACAGGACATTCGAATCATTTCACACTGTGTTCAATAGACCGGGGAGTCATGTGGCTAGCTAGTAGTCTATGAGTTGTTTTTGTTCTCTTCTATCAAGTAAAATCTTCTTAGACGTCAAAATAAGATAGACTGACTCTCTCCAATATCTACGAGAGACCCTCCTTAAAGGTTATTCAACCTTCTATGGGCTATCAGAATTCAGCAGCATTGTGGTTTTATTTCCGGTGGTTTTCCTCCGATTTACCTGGATCTCAATGAAATAAGTATTTATATGTAGTGCGTGCAAGGCATAGGCCTAGGTTTACACGTGATAGGTCGATTACCTGTGTAAACCTATAGGTGGATAGCCACATATCGATAATCATTACTATTGTTAGATGTGTCACATTATGTGGAGAAAAGACGGGACACATAACAAGTCTTAGACAAGTCAGTTTGATAACATATACTTAAGAAATATACATACACTGAAATAACTTCTCTATTGATTATGGAGTATATATTCTTGAAATAGTACGCTTAGCACATTTCATAGTATTGGAGGATTCTCATTTGTCATCATGAGTCACAGGTTTTTGACTCATTCTTTCTCTGGTATTTATTAGTCATGTCTTTCTATTACTCATACAGTTATGATTCATTATGTTTTGTGTTACCTTTCTTTAGTATAAATATGGGGCATTTCCCCCTCTTTAGTTAGTTGGAATAACACGCTCAATTACGACACTTCTCTACATATATTTTCTCTAGGTTATGAGCCCGGAGACGATCTACGCTTAAACACTCCAAAACGATTTTTACTATCAAAGTACACTCTATCGTTTCACTCTAAAACATGTCGAACAACAGCGTAAAAATTCCCGCTTTACAATGCAAGCTGTCTGGCCAAGGCCATTACACTGTTTGGAGGGACCTCGCTTGTCGCATGTTAAAAGTTTACGATATGTGGAATCTAGTCAATGGTACGAGTAAGCGTCCTGCGTTCACCACTACGGTTACTGCGGCACCACCTGCAGAACAACCAGCAGAAGGTGCAGTAGCAGCAACACCAGCAGAAGAGGACGAAGAAGAAACCACAGACAATGCCGAAGAAATCAGCGAATGGGACAAGAAAGATAACCTCGCTGTCGTCTTCCTTCAATCCAACATCAAATTTGAAGACATTATCACGCTCACTCCGGCCGATACCACTCACCATCTCTGGACTCAACTTGAGGACAGATTTGATCGGAAAACTGTATCTTCCCTCCACTCGCTTCTTGCCAACGTTGTAACCCTACAGTATACGCCTGACAAAGGCATCAAGGAACATCTAACCCAATTCAATACTCTTTGGTCATCCCTCCTCACTAGAACTAGTAACTCTACGGACAAAACCAAAGACCCACTCGGTTACCACCTCCACCAACTCGCATCAGTCTCAGAAGGGAAGGCATCCTTCCTACTCCTCTCACTTCGGCATGAATCCCTCGAATCAGTCGTTGACAACCTGCAAACCAAGCTTAACGTCACCTTCGATGACGTCTATGAAAAGCTACTGGATCTGGACTCACGGCGCAACAACGATGGACAAGCTGCTGGAGAAGCCTACAACATTAGGCGAGGAAATCCAGGACCCGGAAACAACAAAGTCGGCAAGGCACGGAACAACAAAAAGGACAAAAAGGACCTTACATGCACATGGTGCAACAAGAACGGCGAATTTGCAAAAGGCCACACGCACAAAGACTGCCGGAAACTCAAAGCTTTCAGAGACAAAGAGAATTCCGCTGCATCTGGCAATCTCAATGTCGTGTCCGGTACTGCATTTCACATAAAACTAGATCTTTCTTGGATTCCTGACCTCTCTGGCCTCCCCACACTCGAAGAAGCTGATGTATTCACTATGCCGGTTTCTTTCGACTTCATCACTTTCTCAGATACCTCAGATGTAACAATGGAAGACTACTTTGGCTTCGTTGCAGGACCTTCCGCATCTAACAACAAGGCATGGATCTTTGACCCTGGTGCAACTAACCACATGGCCGGAACTCAGGTTACCAACCCCTCACCTTACAGTGGAACAGTCACTGTTGGCGGCGGGCGAAAGCTACAGATAACCGGAATTGGAAACGTCACCATCAACGGATCACATGGCCCTATTACTCTGCAGAACGTATTTTTAATCCCAGAACTCGGCAATACCAACCTAATATCTTGGTCATGCATTGCCAAAAAGAGATTTACAACGACAGGGACAGAAAACGGCTTTACCATTTACAAACTGAACAGCAAGAAAATCATTGGAATCGCTAATGCAAATAGTACTGGTCTTTATATCTTTGAAACCAAGGAACTTTGCGCACACATCTCCATCGCTACCAGCTTCTATGACTGGCACCAACATCTTGGACATCTCCCCGCTTTCTCACTCTCACGGTTACGTAACATGGTCACCGACCCAAAGTCTCTCCCCACAACAGGTCACATGGAAACATGCAACACATGTGAACTCGCCAAATCCAGCAAATCTCACCTTACCCCTCTTACCGAACCACGATCCAAACAATCACTAGAATTAATCCACTCAGATCTGAGCGGCAAGTTTTCCACTCCTTCTCTTGGCGGTTTTAGTTACTATATTACCTTCATCGACGATTACTCCAGGTACGCTCACTTCTACTTCCTTAAAAAGAAGTCAGATGCAGCAGCCGCCACACAACGGGACATCGCATATATGGAAAATCAATTGGACAAAACGGTTAAACGGTTCCGAAGCGACAATGGTGGCGAGTATATCTCCAACAACCTCTAACACTTCTTTGCCTCCAAAGGCATAAAGCATGCATTCACTGTACCTTGCTCTCATGAGTCAAACGGAACAGCAGAATGCTTTAATAGAACAATAGCAACAATGGCACGATCCGCCTTGCTTGACCACGATTTTACACTGAATCTATGGACAGTAGTGATCAATACAATAGTACACGTCAAGAATTATCTCCCGCATAAAGCACCCCCGAATATGACACCATATGAAGCACTCACCGGCAAGAAACCCTTCATTGGGCATCTCCGATCCTTCGGTGAAACAATGTTCATTCACATACCTATCAAAGCACAACCAGCTGGAACAAAGTTAGACGCTAGAGCAATTACGGGACAATTCTGCAGCTATGGAGACTCTGATAAAATTTGCCGTGTTTATATACCATCACAAAGGAAAGTAGTTCTCTCTCGTCATTTTAGGTTTAAAGGTCCGTCTGTAGGGGAAGAAATCGAAACAACCAAAACCGACATACCCTCTAAACCAAAACAAGAACCACCCTCACGACCACCAACACCACCTGTGAAACTCTCAGATTCCGATATCGAAGACTTGTTCAACGAACAAATGCTCCGGGAAACTATGGAACACATTTCCAATGACGAATCTGAAGAAGAAGAAGAAGAAGAAGAAGACGCAAGTAAAGTGAGGGCCGGTTATTCGGGGCCCACTCCTAAACGTACACCGCACAATTATTTTGATACAGACACTGATCAACCAAGATATAACCCAGCAAGGGAACGGGAACCTCCGGTCAGATACGGATACAACATTCAGTATGATACCACCATTGTAGAACCAACAAACTATCACCAAGCGATTAACAGTCCTGACTCCGAAAAATGGCAAAAGGCTATGGAAGTTGAACTCGACTCACTCGCTAGGAATAATACATGGAATCTGGTTGACACACCAGATCACCGGAAAGTGGTCGACTGCAAATGGGTATATAAAATTAAACTCGGGCCCGATGGCAACCCCATTTGGTATAAAGCCCGACTTGTCGCAAAAGGTTTCTCACAGGTACCTGGTCAAGACTTTGATCAGACTTACGCTCCCGTCACCCAATATGAATCCATCAGACTGCTTCTTGCCCGCTGCATCAGCAAACCCGCAACCTCCGCCAGACGCTCTGGACGCTCGAGGCGCCCAGGGCGCTCGGTAGACAAACTGCCTCTCCAGAGAAGCAGCAGAGCGTTCCTGGCGCTCCCTGGCGCTTAGCATTCCGCCCTGGCGCGCACTAGGCTACTCGCGCGCCCTGGCGCGCACTAGCCCTCCCAACGCGCCCCGACAGTGATACGCTTACCCCGACGCAATGCTCTCTCGCCTGACGCTCTCTCGACGGAATGTTCTCTCGCCTGAGACTACTACCTATCTCCTGGACGCTCCTGGAGCTCTCGCGACGCCTCAGGAAGCGTTTTGTCCGCTCCTGAACCTCTCTGACGACTCCTGGGCATATCACTAATGCTTCTGGAGCACTCCCGACTGCTCCAGCGGCGCCCGACGCACCGCATTTTACCTTTCAGCGCCATGTTTTTACCAGGCATACTACTCTTTGCTTTAGTAGGCACTGCTTTGCAGAGCATCCAAAACCGTGATTCTATTACTAAATACTAACACTACAAGCGTCTTGAAATCGCCAATCGAATATAATACAGGTATATAGGTATCTCTCCAAAGCACTCGCCGCTGCTCTCCAAAGCACTCGCCATTGCGCTCCAAAGCACTCGCCGGTGCCCTACAGATCCTTTTCCTCCTCCCCTCCCTCGCGATCCTCATCTTCATCCTCCTCGCCTTCCTCTTCCGCTTCAATGCCCCGAAGTTGAGCCTGAACCACCTCTTCCTGGCCGCCACCGTTGTCGGAGATATCCCCTGGAGCACTCGGGGGTGCTCTCCGAGCATTCCGGAATGCCGCAAGATCCGCCGCTAACGCTTCGTCGTCCTCGCTAAATCCATCTTCCGGTATCACCTCAATAGTGATACCCTTCTTCTCTCGTATCTATCAAGGTTAGCCTCCGTATGCAGAAGAGCGCTCCGCCATTGTAGCACCCATCTATAGCATACCTTCTCCCGGAGGTTATCCTTGATCACCTCCAACGTTGCCTCCTGATTCTGCCTACTCCTCCCCTTCCATGTGTTGCTCATCCTGTTGAACGTTTCTACTCGTGTGCAATGTCAGCGCGCGAATCCACTATAGCTCTGGGAGCATCTGTTACTGCTCTCAAAGCACTCGCTATAGCTGTAAGGGGATCAGGGATGCTTACTGACAACACTCTCATTCTGTGACTGGAAATGGTCAGGCTTCACGTATGTTCCCGTTGACCATGCCCGAATGCCATGCCAAATTGCAGTGGATATCAGGCAAATAAATGTAGGGGTAATCCGCTCTAGGAACTCGGGGTCTTTTACCCCTCGCATCCTGACCCCATCAAAGTATTTATAGTACAATATGTCGATAATCTCTGGCGCAAGAAACCGTAGACGGTAGGTCTAGTATCTGTTAGCAGCGTTCGCGAGTGCTCTCCAAGCATTCCGGGTGTCCGGGTGCTCTCCGAGCATTGACACCCGAGTGCTCTCTGGTCATTGACACCCGAGTGCTCTCTTAGCACCCCCGGGTGCTCTCTAGGGATTGATCATACCTCGTAATGCTGCGCAGGGCTCAAGAAGCGATCATTCTTTAAAAGATACTCTACTTGAGCAGCCCTCGCCTCAGGACTCGAGAGCTTTCCAAGCCCATAGATGGTCGAATCCGCCAGGCGCCCTTTAACCTCGTGCATCAAGTGCGAACGGACTCGGGAGTGTAGACTTCTGACCTATCGTTGTCAATTACGCTTCCAGAGCACTCGTCAACGTTTCAAGGGCATTCACCTGTTTGATAACGACCTCGTCCAGATCTACCGCACATCCCACCCTGCGACTGGCAGCTGCCCACATGTTCACTACCAGTACCGAAAGCCTCGCTGCAGGTGGAAAAGGCTCATGTAGAAGAGTGTGGTCCCCGATTAGCGTGCTGCACTCCTTCTCAATCCTCTGAGCCTGCATTGAGAGAACGTTTGCACTCCTCGAGCTAGGTAACAAGGATCTCTGAGATAGGTTGCTCGCATGAATGTTAACAGTGCTCTCAAAGCGGTCGTCAGTGCTATCGGGAATACTACTAACCTCGCTTTCTGCTATAGGAGCATTTCCTTCCCTAATAGACGACGAAAGCTGTGCAATATCGTAGACTCTTGGTTGCGCTTCTGGTAAATATACCTGAGGGCTTGAGGGAATCCGGGGACTGCTCATAGAGCTCTCGCCAACGCCCTCAAAAGGCGGAGAGGAACGATAGGGGCGGTAAGTAGGTGAGGACTCCCCGTATCGAGAGCGCAATGAGGAAAGATCGATATGGCGCGTCGAAGAGCTGTAATCATGATAATAAACAGGTTCAGAAGGCCTAGACTGTGTGGGTATTGGCGGTGCTCTCTGGGATGCATTCTGGCTGGGTGCCGAAGTGGGAGCTGCTCTCCGTACTACCTTTGCACCCGGACGTGCTCCCCTCTAAATCGTTAGCGTTTTGTCCTTAACATTAATGGGTGGGATGGAGTCGAACCTGTACCACATCCACCGACACGTCGGAGGAAGCAATAACCTCCGCTACCGCTCCGGTTGGTCTCCTCCGAGCATTGCCCAGTGCTCTGGCAGTAGTCGGCTGCACTGTACGAGGCCTCTTCCCCGTACTCTGGGATCTCTGCTGAGTGGAGGCTTGAGGTTCTTCCGACTCCTCCGGGTCGTCCAGGTTCTCCTCAGAGCTCTCCTGGGCGTTCTCTGGGGAGTCATCATACTCCGAGTGGCTGGTATCGGCGGTTTCCTCCACCTCTGGCACATCCTCCTGATGCTCCTGCACTTCAACGCTGTCAGTATTGCCATCGGGGAGATGGAATTCTACCCTTCTAGGGCTGCTTCTTCCAGTGGATGTGTCGGTAGAACACAGAAGCCCTTTACGCGCTATTGGGGCGGTTGTCGACTGACTACTCCAAGTGCGGGCTGGCAGTGGAGTCAATGGTCGGCAAGGTATCTCAGACTCGTCAGTCAGTAAATCTTCATGTTCTTCAGGTCGTCTTGGGAGTCGTGCGCGCTTTGGGGCAAGAGGTGCTGAACCGGAGGAGCGCTTGGTGGGAGCCATTCTGATGGCTAGCAGGAATATCGTCAGTGCTCTAGGAGCACTCGCGGTATCTTTGATTAGAAATCAATTCTTGGCGAGAAAATTTGCGCCGCTAATCAAGAAGAATTTGCACGGCTAATCCTCCTACGGCAGGGATCCGCTCAACCGCATCATTTGTAATCACTCGTTTTACTGCACTTTGCACTTTCTGAAGCAATACCGAGTGCTCTGAGAGCAATCTAGGAGTTTGACTCGACTCTGAAATAAAAGCAATGCAATTACGACACGGAATAATCTAATCTAATCTAATCTCATCTAATCTCATCTAATCTCATCTAATACGACAAAACACATCCATTGATATATGCTCGCAAGACAAAGGAAATCCAAAACATCAAATCGTACAGCACCTCCATCTCAGTAGCACTCGCGAGTGCTCAGAGAGCACTCCATACTGCTATTCAAAAACCCATCAATTCATATATGCTCGCAAGACAAAGGAAATCCAAAACATAAAATCGTACCGCACCTCCTCCATCTCAGTAGCAGTCGCGAGTGCTCAGAGAGCAATCTGTACAGCTTTTCAAAGGTTAGTAGTGAGAAATCCGCAGGAAGAGTGGTGAGAGACTATACCAAAGGAGACTAATGATGCCCACCACCATCACCACCACCACCGCCTCCACCGCCTCCAGCTGGCCCACCACCTCCACCACCACCACCACCACCGCCTCCACCACCGCCTCCAGAAGGTCCACCACCACCACCACCACCACCACCGCCCGGAGGTCCGCCCGGAGGAGGAGGAGGAGGAGGAGGAGGAGGAGGAGGAGGAGGAGGAGGAGGAGGA